GGAAGCAACCTCAGTGCCTATCAATAGATGAATGGATAAAGAAAATGATACCCACATGTGTGTGTGCACAATGGAATATTATTCAGCCCTGAAGAAGGAAGGAAATCCTGCCATTACAACATGGATGGACCTTGAGGGGCATTATGCTGAGTGAAATAAGTCAGAGAAAGACAAATACTGCATGATACCACTTACATGTAGAATCTAAAACCATCAAACATAGAAACAGAGTTGAATGTGGCTGCCAGAAGTTAGGGGTGACGGAAATGGGGAAACACTGGCCAAAGGATAAAAACTTCTCATTGGAAGGTGAATAAGTTCTGGGGACCTAGTGCACAGCCTAGTGACTGTAGTTAGCAACACTGTAGTATATACTTGAAAGTTGTTGAGAGACCAAATCTTAAATGTTCTCATCACAAAAAAAAAATTATGTGAGGTGAGGTGATGGATGTGTTAACAAAACCTAATTGTGGTATCATTTCACAATACCTATGTGTGTTAGATCATCACCTTGCACACCTTAAATGTACATAATGTTATATGTCAACTAAAGCTCAAGACAGCTGGAGAAAACCCCCAAAGGTCAGCCTCTCTCACTTCACCTGTTCAACGTAGAGCAAAGATCATGTGTCCAAAGAGCACAGGGAGAGGGGAGGAAGATGCACAGTTGGGAGAAACCACAGCTTCAGACTACGAGTGACCGTCATATATGATCGTGCCTTCCACCAAAATCACTTAAAGACCTTCCAGTGCCTTATCAAGGGAGAAGAATCACTGTCTACAGCATGGCTTCTGACAGGGCAAACTATAGCCTGGGACGCCAAACCCAGCCAGGCGGCTATTTTGACAAATAAAGTTTTATTGAAACATCACCATGTCCATGTATTTACCTATTGCCTATGGCTGCTTTTGCTACCATACCACATGGCCCGCACGGCCTGAAATATTCACTATCTGGCCCCTTACAGAAAAAGTGTGCCAACCTCTAGCTTTCCTGCCTAATTTTAATTTTTTTAACGTTTATTTATATTTGAGAGAGAGAGAGCGTGAGTGGGGGAGGGGCAGAGAGAGGCAGACACAGAATCCGAAATAGGCTCCAGGCTCTGAGCTGTCAGCACAGAGCCCAATGAGGGGCTCAAACCCACGAGCTGTAAGATCATGACCTCAGCTGAAGTCAGACGGTTGACCGGCTGAGCCACCCAGGCACCTCCCCCCGACTTTTTTTTAATGTTTATTTACATTGAGAGAAAGAGACAGAGCACGCTTCCTGCCTAATTTTTTGTCGTTGTTACTGTAAAATATATATAACGGGGGCGCCTGGGTGGCGCAGTCGGTTAAGTGTCCGACTTCAGCCAGGTCATGATCTTTCCTTGGGTCTGTTAAGGTTGAGCCCAGCGTCGACTCTGGGCTGATGGCTCAGAGCCTGGGCCTGTTCTGTCTCCCTCTCTCTGCCCCTCCCCCGTTCATGCTCTGTCTCTCTCTGTCCCAAAAACAAATAAACGTTGAAAAAAAAAATTAAAAAAAAAATAAAATATATATAACATAAAATTTACCATTTTAGCCATTTCTAAGGCTACAGTTTCAGCGGCATTAGGTACATTCACATTTTGTGTGACCATCATCACCATCCATCTCCAGAACCTTTTCATTTCCGAAACTGCAACTCTGTACCCAGTAAACACAAACTCCCAGTAAACACAAACTCCCAGTAAACACGAACTCCCCGTTCCCCTCCCCCAGCCCCCGGCACCCACCCTTCTACTTTTCCTTTTGTGACTGGCTTCTCCTACTTAGCATACCGTATTTGAGATGCATCCACATCGAAGCATGTGTCACAATTTCATTCCTTTTGACGGCTGAATAATATTCCACCGGGTAGAGAGGCCACATTTTGTTTCTCCACTCATCCGCCCATGGGCACCTAGGCTGCTGCCACCTTGGGGCTGTTGTGAATAGTGCTGCCTCCTGCCTAACTCGAGTCGCCTCCTGCATCACATGCCTCGGTCCCGTAGCCACAGACGCCTTCTGTCACCTTCTGTCAATTCCTCAAATGTATCGTGCCCCCTCCCGCCTCTCGGTTAGAATACCCTCCACCTCTACCCCTTCACTATCTTAGCTGCGTCTTAGCCTTCAGTCTAAATTATCACTTCTGGGAACTCGCCCTGACCAGACCCTCCCTAGTCCTCCCCCCCTCCACCTCCCTGCCAGTTCAAACTCGATCAGCTCTATCTGGTCATGAGCTCTGATGGTGTCCTGCCCTGCATCTTTATAGCCCGTAACACTGTGCATAAGCACTGGACACAATTTCATAATACTTCTGTGTGGTTATTTGATTAATGTCAGACTTCAAGAGGCCAAGGCTATGTCTTTTTTTTTGCTTCCCATTATACCCCCACCGACTAGCCCAGAGCCTAGAACAAACCACATTTCATTAATTCTAAGAGACACGAATTTTTACATTTATAGCAGGATGCAACTGATAACCAATGTCTTACATCCACCTGCATATGGCGATGAGCACTCACAAAACACTGGCTCAATCGGTGAAGATGCTCAGAGGCAGGTGCCGCTCTGAACCCCCAAAGGGGTGGCTGAGGGCAACAGGAAGTGGTCAGGTGGGAGTCCAAGAGAGTCCTGGGACCATGTCAAAAAAGCAACACTTCACAGGCATGTGGGTTCTCTATTGCTTAAGACAGGAGGAAGGGAGAGGGTCTGAGACTGGGACAGGCCCCCTGAGTCCTTCTGCATACCTGCCCAGGCTGGACAGCCAGCCCTGGATAAATGCCCGAGTCAAAGGCAAACGGGCACAGCTAGGGAGTGGGGGTCAGGAAATCCCTGAGAGCCCTTGCAATGTCACAAGAAGCCAAAGTGAAGGTCAGATTCAGTCAGGGCCTCTGCACTTTGCTTCCTACAGAAGTCCGGGCCAGCCCTGCTTGCCTTTGGCTCCTCCCAGGACACTCTATGGTGTCTGTGGCTGGTCTCAGCCCTCACATGGGCCTCCACATACTAGGAATGCGAGGAAACTCTCCCCACTGCCCCCCCCCCCCCCACATCCTAGCTGCAGGGATCCCGGAGCAGGGATGCAGGGCTCTTACATACACCAGGTGCCAGATTCAGACTCCTTATGGTATCTCCCGGCAAGATCACAAACTATCATTTTATCTTCTATGCCTTCATGGCGATTTTGTCCAGTGTAAATTTTTAAAACATGCTACCCACTTTCGTAAGCCTGCTTAGCATGTTTTCCCATTTTTAAGACACTGAGAACCGGGGTGCCTGGGTGGATCAGTCAGTTGAGCGTCTGACTTCGGCTCAGGTCATGATCTCACGGTTTGTGGGTTCGAGTCCCGCGTCAGGCTCTGTGCTGACAGCTCGGAGCCTGGAGCCTGCTTCCAATTCTGTGTCTCCCTCTCTCTCTGCACCTAACCTACTCGCATTCTCTTTCTCAAAAATAAATAAACATTAAAAATTAAAAAAAAAAAAAAAAGACACTGAGAACCTCCAAAGACTGCAAGGCACCTGGCCACAGTCAGCCTCTGAGGGGCCCTGCAGAGAGCTTCCCGTCCCCTCCTAGCAGCCAGTATGTAGCTACAGACACCATGTCACCCTGCCAGCAGCAAGATCCTCCCCAGACAGAGCCACTTTCCGCGATTTTGCCCACTTTCATGATTTTCTCCCTGGTTGCCTGTAGGCTGACCCTAAGCTTCTGTACCAAGACCTCTGCTCCGATAGTCTGGTTCTACTCTCTGACCCACCCCGACCTGGACGTGCCTTTTCATTATAAGCACCGAGCGCGTCCCGTACACATGCTGCCCAGCACAGCAGCCACTTGCCCTAAGGGGCCATTGCACACTTAGAATGCAGGGAGTCTGGACTGAGAGGAGCTGTGGGTGCAAAACACACACTGGACGTCGAAGACCTTGCATGGAAAAGAGAATGCAAAACATTTCCGTGTTATCATCTTACATTGATTCTAGTTGACGTGGTAATATTTTGATATATTGACTTAAATGACACCTATTATAAAAACATCACTTGCTTTGGGGCGCCTGGGTGGCTCCGTCGGTTGAGCGTCCAACTTCGGCTCAGGTTGTGATCTCGCAGTCTGTGAGGTCGAGCCCCGCGTCGGGCTCTGTGCTGACCTCTCAGAGCCTGGAGCCTGTTTCAGATTCTGTGTCTCCCTCTCTCTCTGACCCTCCCCCGTTCATGCTGTCTCTTCCTGTCTCAAAAATAAATATTTAAAAAAAATTTTTTTTTAAAAACATCACTTGTTTCTTTTTACTCTTTTTAATGCAATACTAGAAAAATGGAAGGGTAGGTGTGCAGCTCACAGCCTATTTCTAGGAGCATCATTGGGATAGACTCCGCAGGGGCCGGCCAGCTTTCCCTGTCAAGGGCCAGATGGCAAACAGTTTCGGCTTTGCAGACCACACTCAACTCAGCCTTGCAGCACAAACCAGCCACAGACCACACGCACCGGAACGGTCCTGGCTGTGTTGCCATCAATGCGGATTTGGCCCCCAGGCTGCAGTTTGCTGACCCCAACTGAGGAAGACCCATACTGTAAAAAGGGTCATTTCTGGGGCACCGGGGCGGCTCAGTCGGTTACGCCCCGGACTCTTGATTTCAGTTCAGGTCATGATCTCAGGGTCATGAAATGGAGCCCTGAATCCGACTCTGCACCGAGCGTGGAGCCTAAGACTCTCTCTCCCTCTCTCTCTCTCTCTCTACCCCTCCTCTGCCTGCACCACCACGTAGCTCTCTCTCAAAAACAAAATAAAACCTTAAATGAAAATAAAAAGTTTTTAAAGGGTCACTTCTGGGAAATGCTATTCATCTTCTCACGGGCCCTCCATGAAAAGCCACCTTTCATTCAAGTGAAGAAGAGAAACACAAGCACATTCGAAGCTCCCCTAACCTGGCACGGTCCTGGGGCCATGAAGCAGCCCCCAGAAGCCCCGGGGCTCAGCGGCCCCAGGGCACCCACCAAACACACTTACTTGGGTGTGTGGGCCTCGTCTACACGGTGACCCAGCTGGAATTCGTGGGACTTGCTCCGATGCAGAGCGGTGAAACCTGGAATCAAGTGGATCAGTTTCCGGGAGGAGGGCGGCGGGGTCCCCGGGGGCTTCAGCTTGTTCTTCCTCCTCATGGGTGGTGTGCCGGGAGGGGTCACGGTGGTGACGATATTAGGGGTGCGCGGCGGGGTGCGGACCGCGTGCCGCTGCCGGGGCGACGGGGGCAGGGAACGGTGGCCTGACTCCAGCGGCGGTGGCGGGCACAGGCCCGGGTAGGGGTCCACGGTAAGCCTGTCCACATGGGTGTACACGGGGGCCCCGGGCGAGGGGCTGGCGTGACAGTAGTGCTGGACGCACTTGGTCTGGACCCTGGGGCTCTGAGAGAGGTGGGTGCGGATCCACGGCGTGGGCTCCGGGGGGCACACGGGGTTGTTCTCCTTCCCCGTCTCCGTGGTGGGCCACTGGATGGTCCAGTCTTGTTTGGAAAGGTTGCCTCCTGAGTTGGAATAAAGGAGCAGAGAGACAACAGATAAGCCTTGAGAAAGCCTGGCAAGTTACAGCATGTGCACGTTCCGGCGTATGCACGTTCCAGCGTATGCACGTTCCAGCGAACGTACCTTACGGCGTATGCACGTTACAGAGAACGTACTTTACACATGCACATTACCGTGAACGTATCATACGGCGTATTCACGTTACAGCGAATGCACGTTACAGCATGTGCACATGACGCTCTATCCACACCACACTGTGCGTGCATGCTACGCCTTATAGACCTTACAGCCTATGCACATTACATCCTATATACACTGCGCTGTGTATGAACACCACACCGTGTTCATACTATACTGCACACACATTTACATAAATCCATCCCCCTTTGGCTCCTCCAGAGAATGAAATCCCTTTGCTGACTCTCTCACTATGACCCCCACTCAACAGCCTTGCCCACCTGCTCTCCTGTAGTTGTGGAGCCCACAAGTCAAATATCCAGAAAAGCAAAGGAGTGAATTCTCGCTTTTGAATTTCCAAGGATCTTAATTCCAGCAGTTTCAGGATGATTGATAGGATTTTCGAGGATAACCTTTCCCTTACGTAGCAATTTTAACAGCTAGCCCCTATATGAGATACAGGAATTCTGCAGAAGTCAAATTTGCCCTGACTTCTTTCTCAGACACTGCACCAACTTCTCCCAGATCTGCTGTGGCTGTGTGCTCGTCAAACCCTCATCCAACACTTTCTTTCTTTCTTTCTTTCTTTCTTTCTTTCTTTCTTTCTTTCTTTCTTTTAATGTTTATTTTTGAGAGACAGACACAGAGCACAAGCGGAGGAGGGGCAGAGAGGGACGGAGACCCAGAATCTGAAGCACGCTCCAGGCTCTGTGCTGACAGCAGAGAGCCTGATGCAGGGCTCGAACCCACAAACCATGAGATCATGACCTGAACCAAAGTCGGACGCTTAACCACTGAGCCACCCAGGTGTCCCATCATCCAACGCTTTGTGAATGCACCAGGCACTATGCTCCAGAAAGGGACAGCAGACCACACCCAGTCCAGGCTCTCTGGTACCCTAGGTTTAATATTCCACTTAAGGAGAGACACAATAGACCAGAAAACACAGTCATGAAAGGATTTCAGAGGGTGATGAGTGCCGGGAGCAGAGACAACCAGAATGGATGTGATAAGAGAATTAGTAATGGTGAATGGTTACCAAGCTGTGGTTCCTGCCCACTGCAGAACACGACTCAGCCACAAAACGGAATGAACTACTGAGCATGCAGCAACCCGGGTGACTTTCCAGACAACTGCGCTGAGCAGAGAAAGCCAATCCCAGAAGATCCCATTCATATTCCATTTTTGAAATGACCACATTTTAGAAATGGAGGATAGATTGGTGGTTGCCAGGGTTTAGGGCTGGAGGACACAGGCAGGAGGGGCACACACAAGGGACCCTTAGAGCATTGGAACTGTCCAGTATCTTCACTGTGGTGAAGGACACGTGATCCCACACAGGTGATAAAGTTGCATAGAACTAAATACACACACACACACACACACACACACACACACACACACACACGAGTACACATAAAACTGGGGAGACCCGGACAAGATCAGGAGGTTGCATCAATGTCAATAACCTGGCTGTGACATGGCACTACAATTTTACCAAAAGTTACCAATTGGGAGAAACTGAGCAAACTCGACAAGGGATCTGTTGCAGGCTGAATGTTTGTGTCCCTCCAAAACCCTGACATTGACATCCTAACCCCCTACAGTGATGGCCTTTGGAGGTGGGGCCTTTGGGAGGTAACTGGGTTAAGAGAGGTGGTGAAGGTGGAGCCCTTATAAGGAGATGGGGAGACAGGAAGTCCGAGGAAGGAAGGGCCGTGTGAGACCACAAAAGTGGCTGTCTATCAGCCAGGAAGAAGACCCTCCACAAGAAAACATCTTCCAGCACCTTGATCTTGGACGTCCAGCCTCTAGAACGGTAAGAAATAATGTCTGTTGGTTAAGCCACCCAGTCTGTGGTATTTGTTTTAGCATCAGGATCACTCTGTGTTATTGTTTACAACTGCATGGCAATCTACAATTAGCTCAATACAAATTTCAACTGAAAAAAACTAACAGTAAAAGGGTTGGGGGTGGGGCTGGCTTTAGGTAGAGCATTCAGCTCCCTAAGGAAGCCGCATTTAAGCTGGCATCGAGGACAAGAAAGGGATCACCAACAGCCAAGGAAAGAGCATACAGGTAGGAAGGAGCTTTTTTTTTTTAAGTCCTACAGCCGTTTATTAGGGAAAGAATGGAGGTGTTAAAAAAATTCCCCACTGTCTGAATGCAGCTTGGGATTTTCAGCCCTGGTATAAGTTAAACCAAAAAATAAAAATAAAAATTCCAATTGTGCATTAACATTTTCTCACTCCTCCGCCATACTGAAAGGGTAAATATCAATGTGGTCTGTATGCACAGACTCCATGCTAAGTGGACTCCTATCTACATTAGGGCAGGCACTTTCCTAGGTCCCTTTTCGGGGTGCCTTCTCGAAGGCAGTGTGCCCAAGGTGTGGCAACAATAGGGTGGGTGGCTCAAGGAGAGGCTGAAGGGACAGGTGAGGGACAGACCACCAGGACCGTGCACCAAAATGCAGTGTGGGTTATATGCCAAGTTCAGTGGGAAGCCATTGAGAGTTCTGATGGGAGGTTCCTTTCTTGAAGATCCTGCTTGGACAAGGAGAGCCCATGAAAGGTTTTGCAGGGCTCCAGGCGAGAGGTGTCGCTGGTCCCCACGTGGGTGGTGGCTGCGAAAAGAGAAACCAGTGGGGACCACTGCATGCAAAAGCAGGACCTGGCAGAAGGCGATCGAGTGGCCCCCCCCATCACGGGCCAAGGAGGAGATGAGGGGCAGAAATAAATTCCAGCTCGTGGCCAACTAGCAGTAACGAGAATAATTACTATAAGGACCATAACAAGAGCTGATTTATAGAACATTTGACAGTTTGCAAAGTGCTTTCGTGAAGACTGACTCACTGCCCCATTTTTAATTAAAACTACCCATTTTGTTATTATATATTCATTATAGAAAAATTAGAAAATTCAGATAAGGAAAAAGGCAATGTTGGTCTACAGCCCAGCCATCATCCCTATTAACGTTTGGCTGTGGAGCCTGCCAGATGGTTTGCTGTGCATATTTTTTTAAGAAGTGCTGTAAGATCTTGTTTAATGGTTCGTCTCTGCTTTCTTCACTTGTAATATTAGGACTGCTTTACATCTTATTTAATATTCGTAACTCTGTGGGCAGAGGGCCATTTTGATCTCTACTTTGTAGATAAGGTCATGGATGTGCAGAGACGAAGATGTACCGAGGTCACACCAGAGATGGGGACTGGCAGCTGGGATTCAAACCCAGGGCCTGGGCCACCTCAACAACCAGGACCCTGGGGCATCGACACAGAGGGCTGGGATCCGCATTCAGCGAGGGCCCTAGGCCATCATGGATGAGCCAGATGGGAATAGATACCAGAGCAAGGACTCATTTCTGACACGGCTCTCCCTTTTCCCTTCTCCCAGACTTTGCCAGAACATTCTACCAAAGTCACCAACACTATGGTGGTGCGTAAATCTCGAAATTCAGACATAAATACTATTAGCCCAGTGACTAAGACAGCCAGCTCTGGAGTCTTACGACTTGGCCCTATGTCTGGCTGTGCGGCCCTGGGGCACTCGCCTAACCTCTCTGAGTCAGCTTTATCACCTGCGAAATGGGACAGTAGGACCTGCCTCCAGAGAATAGTATGAGGACATATGCGATAGCACAGGACAGCACCTGACACATGGCAGGAACTCCATAAATGTCAGCTACTCGTATTGTGATTCTCAATACCGTGGTGCTAAGTTGTTACCTCCCCTTTAAAGAGTGTGCACTTGTGTGGAGACGTGTTGTGCCACAGATGTTACCACCATCCTGTGCACCTTCCAGAAGCTGACGCTCAGAGAGGCTGAAGAACTCTGAGCGCTGGAGGCAGACAGACCAGCTTCTCTGTTACCCGGAAAGCTCTGGCTTGATGTATTTGCTCAGAAAATATAAACTCATTGTCCTATTCACCTAAATAAAATATGTTTAAGAGAATAAATCTATTTTTTAAATTGTCTGAATCATACACTGCATTCTAAGGCCACAGAAAAGTACTGTGGGCGTTCTTGCTAGAGCTCTTTCCCCCGCCTCCAGGGAAATGGACAAAAATATGGGATTGGGACTCTGAGAGATCTGGTTTAGAACTCTGGTGCCACCAAGGACCAGCTCTGTGACCTCCTTGAGCCTCAGTGTTGGGGTCTGTAAAATGAGAACGATCATGGTTCCCTTGTACAGTAAGGATTAAATGCATTCGTTCATCTGAGTATTTCACAAATATTTTTTTAAGTTTATTTTTAAAATTTTGTTTTTGAGAGAGAGACAGAGCATGAGCGGGGGAGAAGCAGAGAGAGAAAGAGAGGGAGACACAGAATCTGAAGCAGGCTCCAGGCTCTGAGCTGTCAGCACAGAGCCTGATGCGGGGCTCGAACCCATGGACCACAAGATCATGACCTGAGCCAAAGCCAGAAGCTTAACTGACTGAGCCACCCAGGCGCCCCTATTTCATAAATATTGGAATGCCTCTCGTATACCAGCCACTGTTCTAGGCACTGTGATAGGCCGATGAATTTAAGAAGACCAAGATCCCTGTCCTCTAACAGAGCACATGTTCTTAGTGGGGAAACAGATTAAAGGGGGGGATGAACAAATAAATGACATATATAATACATTGTCTATAAGATGTCATATAAAATATCTCATCTGTAAGCCAGTGGTAATAAGTGCTATGGAGGAAAAGAGAGTGGGCGCGGCCACAAAAATGTGCTGGGGGACTACTTCAGACAGACCAGGGTGAGGAGGGACAGTGGACACAAGCAAGTATCAGAGTGAGTGAGGAGTGAGTTAACGAGATAAAATGAGTCGCGTCATCAGCACAGAGCCTGGACCACCACATGAGGCAGGCCAATGGGCAGATGGTTGAGGGTGCTGGAGACGTCTATTCTGGATGCCTGCGACTCATCCGATTTGCTCCTCGGGTACTCACTGTGCCAGCCCCTGGGGTGGGGGGTCTGTCTTTCCCCTGCCCTCAGGATGCTCATGGTCTGGCAGGAAGACCGATAATGAAATAATCGCTGTAATTCCACGCCCAGGTACAGACCCAAAGGCAGTGAAAGCAGACACCTGTTGCTTGTATGTGAATGTTCACAGCAGCATGAAGCGCAACAGGCAAAAGGTAGAAACAACCCAAATGTCCACTGATCTGACAAATGGATACACAAAATGTGGTATGCCCATGCAATGGAATGCTATTCAGCCGTGAAAAATAAAGTACTGGCAGGTGCTAACAGTTTGGATGGACCTCAAACACATTATGCTACGTGTAAGAAGCCACATTACATACGATCCCGTGTATGAAGTCTCCAGAACAGATAGATCTATAGAGACAGAAAGCAGATTGGTGGCTGCCAGGGGCTGGAGGGAAGGTGGAATGGGGAGCTAGTGTTTAATGGGTCCAGGGTTTCTCCCGGGGTGACAAAAATGTTTGGGAACTGGAGAGAGGTGGTGGTTGAATGCATGAAATGCCATGGAATTATTCACGTTACAATGGCCATTGTTGAGGGTGCCTAGGTGGCTCGGTTAAGCGTCTGACTTCAGCTCAGGTTATGACTGGCCATTGTTCTGTGAGCTTCACCTCGATTACATATGTAAGTACCCACAATGTGGCAGAGAATCTGACGTCAGAGGAAGTGCAGGTGGGAGCACAGGTGAGCGACCCAGCTCCTGGTGGAAGGGTAGAGATAGGTATCCCAGAGGACGTGGTACCTACACCCAAACCTTGAGGTTGAAAGAGAACTTGCTAGGAAAGGAATGGAGTTCAGGGTGGAGGAAGGAAGGTCAAGACAGAACAGCAGGGTCAAGGCCAGGAGATGGTCAAACATGATGGGTTTGGAGGAAAAGCAGCTCAGTGTGGCTGGAGCTCTCTGGAGGGAGAAAGAAACTCAAGCCAAGACTGGAAATAACGACTAAGGAGGACCATGCAGGGACTTGCTCTCCTAAGTGCAGGGGGCTATTGAGAGGGAGGGGTCAACATGACGGGATCCCCTGCGGCTAGCCTCCCAAAGGAAGGTGGTCTCCTTCAGAGCTCCTTCAGACCTGCAGCAGCCGTCAAACTGGGGAACAGAGGAGGCTAACGCTCTGGTCTGCCACACCACGCAGCTGTGAGCCCAAGGCCCGGACTTCAGCCCTATGCTCATGCCAAGGGAGGGGCTGGAACTTCCCCCAACCATAAACGATCGAAGCCAAGTTCCTTCCTGGCCATTCGGCTAGATCCACAAGACCTGGGCCCCCAAATCCCTGCTCATGCCAAGGGAAGGGCTGGCTTTCCCAACAGACAAATGTTGAGAAGTAGTCTGGGGCTGGAAGTCAAAGTTCTGCCTGTCATATCACTGTTATATCCCAGCCCCTGATCACACCCCGGCAGGGGCTGGTGCTTCCCCGATCATGTGGCTTAAAAATCACATAGCCCAATGGGGTCCATTTGCCATCAAGTCCTGCTGGAGCCCAGTGGGATGGTCCTGTCCCTCTGTGATTAAAGCTGTCCCAGAGACCCGGGGGCACGGCTGTGTGGCCATCCATTGTTTGTTTCTCTAATTCCAGTATAGTTAACACACGGTGTTGTATTAGGCTCAGGTGTACAATATAGTGATTCAGCAGTTCCATACGTCACCCTGTGCTCATCATGACAAGTGTGCTTCTTAATCCCATCACCTAGTTCCCCCATCCCCCCACCCACCTCCCCTCTGGTAACCATCAGTTTGTTCTAGATAATTTAGAGTCTCTTACTTGGCTTCTCTCTCTCTGTTTCCCTTGTTCATTTATTTTGTTTCTTCAATTCCACATATGAGTGAAATCACATGGTACTTGTCTTTCTCTTATGTCACTTAGCATTATACTCTCTAGCTCCATCCATGTTGCTGCAAATGGCAAGCTTTCATTCTTTTTTTATGGCTGAGTATTTCATTGTATATATACCACATCTCCCTCATCCATTCATCAATCCTTGGACACTTGGGCTGCTTCCATATCTTGGCTATTGTAAATAATGCTGTTATAAACAGAGGGGCGCATATAATTCCTCTGAATTCGTGTTTTTGTATTCTTTGGATAAATACCCAGTAGTGTGACTGCGGCATTGTAGGGCAGTTCTATTTTTAACTTTTTGAGGAACCTCCGTACTGTTTTCCAAAGTGGCTGCACCAGTTTGCATTCCTACCAACAGTGCATGAGGGTTCCCCTTTCTTCACATCCTCGCCCTCCAGCTGTTGTTTCTTGCGTGTGTTGATTTTAGCCATCCTGACAAGTGTGAGGTGATATCCCGTTGTGGTTTCGATTTGCATTTCCCTGATGATGAGTGATGATGAGCATCTTTTCATGTGTAGGCATCCATTCTTGTGGCTCAAGAGGACATGATCGGGGAAGGGGAGGGAAGGGACACGATCAGATGAGCGTTAGGAAAGCTATATGGGCCAGAGTATGGAGAAAGCACTGGACAGATCAGAGGTAGCAGCAAGCCCAGCCTGAGGCCACTGAAGGCATCTATCTAGATGGGAGATGATAAGGACCTGGGGCAGGGTTGGGAGAAGAAGAGACATGGATTGAATGGGCACAAGCAGAGGAGAAAAAAATAGCTAACCTTTATTGGAAACATACTGCGTTTTTGACACTGTTGTGTAATTTACATGTAAAATAATTATATAGCTACACAACAACTCTAGGTAGTAAGCAAAGATCACTCCATTTTATAGGTGAGAAAACTGAGGCACAGAGAGGTTAAGTGACTTGTTCAAGACCACACAGCTAGAAGGAAGACAGCTGGGGTTGGAGTCCACATCTTTAAACATGTCACTACACCAAGGCTGGCCTCCTGATTTCCAGCCTGGGACACATGATGGCTGGTGGCACTGATCACAGCGACAGGAGGTAAAGGAGAGGGAAACTGCAAAAAGGAGGTGGCGAGCTCAGGGTCACACAGGCTGAGCCTAAGGTTCCTGCAGGACATCAAGGGGAGATGCCTGGGATGTTACAGAACTTCCTACCACCGCTTCTGCTCCCTAGGAGTCCTAAGACCGCTCCTCAGGAAGAAGTTATTTTTCTAGACTGAGAAAAATGGATCATGAGATTGTAAAACCTCCTGGGTCTGTCCAGAAGTCAGGCTCATCTTAGATTTTTTTTTTTTTTAACAAAGACATGATATGATTGAATCATGTTCTCCCTCTGTCTCCTCTCCCACCGGATCCCCGAGTCTCCAGAGCAGATATTCCATGGCCCTGAATTACAGATCAGGGACAGGAGGTAATGAGCACATCACCCCACTCCATGGCTCCCTCAGAAGACAGAGACAGCTCTGTGTTTGGAAGACTGGCTTTCGGAATGGAAAGAACAAGAATTAATTCTAAACAAACACCAAGCAAGGAAGCAGAACACCTCAACTTTGCAACACGATGCTTGGAAGTTAACTTGCTCTGACCTTGCCTTGCCATGACTCTGCTTCTTCAACTGTGCAAGAGGAATCACGGCGGAGCTTTTCCCCTAGGCTTGCTCTGAAGATGATAAAGACAACGCAAGTAGACCATTTAGCGTAATCTCTGGCACCCAGCCAATGTTGCATAAATGTTTATGTAATATGGGAGTAAAACCATACATTTCACAAGACACCGCTGGAGAGGATTAAATAAAATAAGCATATCAATAAACTTGCATCCGGTGACTATATCCCTGACCCTGCCCTACAGAAAACAAATCCATGAAGCCAAAGCCAATGAGTCCTTATGGTAGTTAAACTGTAGCCACCAAAAAGACACGTTGAAGCCCTAACCCTCAGTACCCGTGAGTGTGACCTTCTTTGCTAATAAGTTCTCTGCAGATGTAATCAAGTTAAGATGAAGTAACACTGGGTTGGGGGTCCATAAAGGCAATGATTGCTGGCCTTATACGAAAAGGACACAGGGGTACCTGGGTGGCTCAGTCGGTTAAGCGTCCGACTTGAGCTCAGGTCATGATCTCACGGTCTGTGAGTTCGAGCCCCGCATCAGGCTCTGTGCCGACAGCTTGGAGCCTGGAGCCTGCTTCAGATTATGTGTCTCTCTCTTTCTCCCTCCTCCCCTGCTCGTGCTCTCTCTCTTCTCAAAAATAAATAAACGTTAAAAAAATTTTTTTTTAAAGAAAACGACACAAAGGAGACACCATGTGAAGACAGAGGCACAGATTAAAGAGGTGAAGATACAAACCAAGGAACGCCAAAGATTACCAGCAACCCCCAGAAGCTAGGAGAGGGGTGGGGAGCAGATTCTCCCGCCAGAGACTTCCGAGGGAGCACGACCCTGCCCATACCCTGATTTTAAACTTGGAGCCCCCAGAACTGTGAGGAAATATATTTCTGCTGGTGTTACTTATTTATTTATTTTGAGAGAGACAGAGATAGCATGAGCAGGGGGAGGGGCAGAAAGAGAGGGAGACAGAGGATCCCAAACAGGCTCCACACTGTCAGTGTCCATGCCTGGTGCGGGGCTCGAACTCACAAAGGGTGAGATCACGACCTGAGCCAAACCTAAGAGTTGGATGCTTAACTGACTGAGCCACCCGGGCACCCTTGTTTCTGCTGTTTTCAAGCACCTACTTTGGGTGGCTTTGTTATGGCAGCCCTAAGAAATGAATACAGTCCTCAGCCAGGAGCCAGGGACATTCACTGACTATAGGCTGGGGAGTTAGGATATAAAAGTTAGCATTTGGAGGGCACCGGCCAGACTCAGGGGGTTCAGGGCTCATCTTACCTGCCCTGTAAGGTAGGTGTTATTGACCCATTTTATAAATGAGCTCCGTGGGGCACCTGGGGGGCTCAGTTGGTTAAACGTCTGACTTTGGCTCAGGTCACGATCTCGCAGTTCGTGAGTCTGAGCCCCGCATCGGGCCCTGTGCTGACAGCTCAGAGCCTGGAGCCTGCTTCCTCAGATTCTGTGTGTCCCTCTCGGTCTCCCCCCCCGCCCAACAAATAAAAATAAACATAAAAAAATAAAAAAAAATTGAAAAGAAAATAAATGAGCTCTGGATGAGTGCTAGGATGTGGCTAATGTCCCATAGTGGATAATAAACCTACACCTTCTCTTCCCTCTTTGTCACATGGCATCCTGCAATTGTGCTGGGACCCACCTTCCCCCGAAGCTTAAGAGTTCCTCCAAACACACACACACACACACACACACACACACACACACACACACACCCTCCACCAGGTTCAAGAAAGCACCGAGTTGCCCCCAAGAATCCCTGCCCTAAAGTTGTTTTAAGTCAGAAAGACGAGAAGAGAGCAAGCAAGCTTTACCCCTACCAAATTCTCCTCTCCATCAATTACTCTTCCTCTCCACCCCTGCATTTCAAA